CAGCACCACTAATCATCAGGGAAATGCAAATCAAATCTACAATGAGATATCACCTTACACCTGTCAGAATGGCTATAATTACCAAGACAAAAATTTAAAAATGTTGGAGATGATACGGAGAAATGGGAACCCTCATACTCTGCTGGTGGGAATGCAAACTGGTGCAGCCACTATGGAAAACAGTACAGAGATTTCTCAAAAAATTAAAAATAGAAATAGCATATCATCCAGCTGTCCCAATTCTGGGTGTTTAACTAAAGAACTTGAAATCAACAATCAAAAGAGACTTGCCCACCCCTATGTTCATTGCAGCATTATTCACAATAGCCAAGACGAGGAAGCAACCCAAGTGCCCATCAACTGATAATTGGCTAAAGAAGATATGGTATATATCTACAATGGAATACTACTCAGCCACAAAAAAGATGAAATCATCCCGTTCGCAACCATATGGATGGACCTTGAGGGCATCATGTTAAGCGAAATAAGCCAGACAGAGAAAGACAAACACCATATGATTTCACTCACATGTGGAATATAAACAAACTTGTGGAGAAAGAGAACAAATTAGTGGTTATCAGGTGAAGGGTGGTGGGGGGTGGGCACAAGGGGTGAAGGGGAATACTTACATGGTGTATGACAAATAATAATGTACAAGTGAAATTTCACTACATTATAAGCTATTATGACCACAATAAAAAAAAAGAGATAGCTCTGAGTCCACTAAGTTTAGAGATATTCAGGGAAATAAGACAGGTGCACAGCAACAAATATCAGCCAATGCCAACTATTCAATGAATTGTTTAAACAATAAATGCCATAGGTATTTAAGAGAAAGAGAAGTCACCACAAATGGGGCAATTAGGGAACCTTTCCTAGAGGAGTTCAAATTTAAGTAGGTCCTTAAAAATATTTACACATTAGAAGGAAAAGAGGGACAGATCAGCACTAAAGGAAGGAAGAGCAAGTATATCAAGAATCAAAAGGTCGAAGATAGGGTTGGGGGAAAGTTAAGTAATTAGGTAGCTAACATATACAATGATTTTAGCAACAATAGGAGGTCAGGATAGAAAGATATACTAAGGCCAGTCATCAGACGCCAATGTAAATTTGTGAGCACAGAAATGACATAAAGCAGTGTTTTAGGAAGTATAATTTGGTGGTAGCACAAAGACAGACTGGAACATAATACAGATAATATGGCATAAATTTGTAATATTTTTAAATATTTTCTTGTTTTGTTAAAGTACACATAAAATTTACCATCTTAACCACTTTTAAGCGCACGTTGAGTAGTATTAAATACATTCACGTTGTTGTGCAACCAACATGACCATCCATCCCCATAACTCTTGTCATTAGGTAAAACTGAAACTCTATACCCACTAAATGATAACTTCCCATTTTCCCCTCCCCCTGGCATCCCACCATTAAATTTTCTGTCTTTGTGATTTTGACTACCCTAAGTATCTCATATAAGTGGAATCATAAAGTATTTGCCTTTTTGTGACTGGCTTATTTCACTAGCAATAATCTCCTCAAATTTCATCCATGTAGTAACATATTGCAGAATTCCCTTCCTTTTAAAGGCTGAATAATATTACATTGTATGTATATGCCACCTTTTGCTTGTCCATTCTCCCATGAACACTTGGGCTGCTTCTACACATTTTAACTATTGTGAATAATGTTCTTATAAAACATATGTATACAAATATCTCTTTGAAATCCTGCTTTCAATTCTTATAGGCGTATATCCAGAAGTGGAATTTCTGTATCATATGATAATTCTATTTTTAATTTTTTGAGGAACCACAAAAATGTTTTCTACAGTAGCTTTACCATTTACATTCCCACCAACAGTGCACAAGAGTTCCAATTTGTCCATATCCTTGCCAGCACTTTTTGCTCATTGGATAGCAGCCATCCTAATGGGTGTGAGTGGTACCTCATTGAAGTTTTCGTTTGCATTTCCCTAATGATTAGTGATGCTGAGCATGTTTTCATGTGCTTCTTGACTATTCATATATCTTCTTTGGAGAACCGTCTATTCAAGTGCTTTGCTCATTTCTGAATCATGTTGTTTGATTTTTCTGTTGCTGAGTTTTAGGAGTTCTCTATATACTCTTGATATAAATCCCTTACCAGATATATGATTTGCAAATGTTTTCTCCCATTCTATGGGTTGTCTTTTTACTCTGCAGATAGTGTCTTTTGGTGCACAGAATTTTAAAATTTTCACGAAGTCCAATTTGTCTATTTTTTATTTGGTTACCTGTGTCTTCAGTGTCATATCCAAGAAATCATTGCCAATTCCAACGTCAAGAAGGTTTTGTCCTATGTTTTCTTATAAAAAGGATTTTATTGTTTTAGGTCTTACATTTAGGTTATTGATCCATTTTGAATTAATTTTCATATATGGCATTAGGTAGATCCAACTTCACTCTTTTTGCAGGTGGATATCCAGTTTTCCCACTACTACGTGTTGAAAAGACTGTCCTTTATCCATTGAATGGTCTTGTCACTCTTGCCAAAAATCATTTGACCGTATATGTGATGGTTTATTTCCAGGCCCTCTGTTCTATTCTGTTGGTCTAAATGTCTGTCTGTATGCAAATACCACGCTGTTTTGATTACTGTAGTAAGTTTTAAAATCAGGAAGTATGGGTCTTCTAGTTTTTTTGTTCTTTTCCAAGATTGTTTTGGCTATTTGGGGTGCCTTGAGATTACATGTGAATTTTTGGATGGGTTTTCTTTATCTCCATTAGTTGCTTAAAAGTGTTGCTTAATTTCCAAAACTTTCTGAATTTTTTAGATTTCCTTAAGTTAATTGTTTCTTTGTTAACATCTTGTTGTGGTCAGAGAAGATACTTCATCCCATTGTGGTATATCTATCTTTTTAAATCTATTGACACTTAATTTGTGGCTTAACACATCCATTCTTCTGAGTGGGGTATTGAAGTTTCAACCATTATTGTAGAACTATTTCAAAATCCCTTCTCTTTTGTCAGCTTTTGCTTCATATATTTTGATGGTCTGTCATTAAGTGTGTAAATGTTTATAACTGTTATATTTCTTGCTATATTTAACATTTATTAATACATAATGTCCTTCTTTCTCTCTTGTAATCTTTTTGATTTAAACTACATTTTGTCTGATAGTAGTATAGCCACTCCTGCTCTCTTTTGATTACTATTTGCATGGAATATTTTTTATCCATCCTTTCAGCTTCAACCTGCTTGTGTGCCATCTACAAGAGATTCACTTTAGATCTAAAGACACATAGTTGGAAAAAGAAGTAAAATTACGTGTTTGCAGGTGGTAAGGTCATATAGTTGAATCATGTGTTTTTATCCATTTTTTGTCTTTTGATTCGAGAGTTGAATTAATTGGCATTTCAAGTCATTATTGTTAGGAAGGGAGGTACTTATGTCATTGTGCTATTTGTTTTCTATATGCCTTTTAGCTTTTTTGTCCCTCATTCCTGCATTATTGTCCTCTTTTGTGTTTAGTTGATGTTTTGTAGTGAAATATTTAATTCCTTTCCCATTTCCTTTTGGGTATCTTCTAGAGATAAATTCTTTGTTGTTATCATGAGAATTACATGTAACATGCTAATGTTATGACACTCTAATTTAAATTCATACCAACTTCAATAACACACAAAATCTCTGCTCCTTCACAGCTCTGTCCCCACCCCTTTCAGTTACTGATGTCACAAAATTACATCCTTAGGCATTGTATGTCCAAAAACATAGACTAATAATTTTTTAAATGCATATTCTTAAGTTACGTAGAAAACAAGATTTGGAATTAGAAATCAAACTTACAATAATACTAGTTTTTACACTAATGTGGTTTTTTTCCTTAAATGTATTGATCTCAAATCATGTATAAAACAAAAAGTATACTTACAAACCACTGTACGATAATACTAAATTTTATGTGGCCATTGATTTACCTTTATTGAGATCTTTCTTTCTTTCTATAGCTTCAAGTTATTATTCAGTGTCCTTTCATTTCATCTTGAAAGACCACCTTGAGCATTTCTTACAGGCAGGTATAGAAGTCACAAACTCCCTTAGTTTTTGTTTACCTGAGAATGTCTTAATATCTTCCTCATTCTTGAAGGACAGTTTTGCTGGATATAGGATTCTTGGTTCATAGCTTTTTTTTCTATTAGCACTTTGAGTATATCAGCCCACTGTCTTCTGGCCTCTGACGTTTCTGCAGAGAGATCTGCTGACAATCTTGAGGATCCCTTGTATGTGATGATTCACTTCTCTTGCTGCTTTGGAGATTCTCTGTTTGTCTTTTCAATGTCTGACTATAAGGCGTCTTTGTGTGGGTCTCTTTGTGCTCATCTTACTTAGAGTTTGTTGAGATTCCTGGATGTTTATATTCATGTCTTCCATTAAATTTAGGAAATTTTCAGGGAGTATTTCTTCAAATATTCTCCCTGCACCCTTCTCTCTTCTCCTTCTGAAACTCCATCAATGCATATATTGGTCCACTTAATGGTGCCCCACACGTCCCTTAGGCTCTGTTTGCTTTCCTTCAACATTTTTTCTTTCTGTTCCTCATATTTGATCATCTCCATTGTCCTATCTTCAAGGTTGCTGGTTCTTTCTTCTGCCTGCTCAAATACGCTCATTGAATCCCTCTACTGAATTTTTGTTTCAGTAAATGTAATTTTCAGCTCCAGAATTCTTTTTGGTTTCCTGTTAGGTTTTCTACTACTTTATTGATATTTCCATTTTATTCACATGTCATTTTCTTCTCTTTCTCCACATCTTTTAGTTCTTTACAAATTTTTAAGAGAGTTGTTTTAAAGTCTTAGTATATCTACCATTATGTGTTTTTCAGGGACAGTTTCAGGTGATTTATTTTTTTTTATTTTGCATGGACCTTACTTTTCTGTTTCTTTGTATGCCTTGTGATTTTTTTGTTTGAATCTAGTAATGTGGTACCTCTGGAAATCAGATTCTTCCCCCTTCCCCAGGGTTTTTTATTATTGCTGTTACTGTCTTTTTTCATTGTTTTTGTTTTGTTGCTTGTTGTAGGCTCTCTCTATGCCAAAGTTCAGCCTTAGGTGTAAACTTAAGGTCTTCTCAGGTCTTTTCTGAGCCTTTCCCTGGACATGCACAGTCACTTTCTAATTTTCCCTGTATATGCAGTTGTTTTTGAATGTCATAGTCTTTAATGGCTGTCTCTGTAAAGTAAAGAAAATGAAAATTGAGAAAGGGGGGAAATGGGCACTGGCCTTATAAATCCTCTGGAAATCACTTCAGCCAGAGAAAGTGGGGCTTGCAACAATGGGGTAGACGCAAGAACAATGGCTACTCATCTCTTTGTCTGCACTTCTGTGATCAGAAGCAGTAATCAGCAACCAGAGCAGAGATCCCCAATAATTGGAGGACAGGGTCCTTTTTGCCCACTCTGACTCCCCCAAGCTGTGTGCAAGCTGCTCCAGGAAGATGTGCACAGCTATCTGAGACATGTCTAGGGGGTGGGGAATGGGTAGCTACTACTGTGCTAAGAGCTAAAATTGACCAAAGTTAACCACCAAATCTTCCCCTGGGAGTTGCAATCCTTCAACGGACTTCAGAGTTCCAAAACAGTTACATGAGACAGATTTTGCCAGTTCAATTGTTGTCCAGGTAAAGAGATGGATTCCTACATCCCCGTCTTCCTCACGCTTGCGTTTTTCTTACAATATGGGAATTGGGGCTTAAAGTTGATAAAAAGCACTAGTAATAGAAATAAAAAAGTGAAAGCAAGATATTACAAAGGAAGAATTGAAGTGTCTTGATCTTGGTTCACCTTCCCAGCCACCATGATTAAAGAACACTAAATAATAATTTTCAATATAGTGAGGTCAGTCTTGCTAATGTCAAAGGCAACATGTGAAAATATTATTACATTCAAAACAAATCTTAAGACTGTTTCTGGATTTAAACTTTGATGATGAAGATTTGTAAAACAGAAGGGCAGAGATGGGGAGGAAGGAAGGAGGGTAGGCAGTTTCCAAGTTTGAATGCAGGCAGCCAAGGTTGCCCCTGCCTCAGCCTTCTGGGAAGTTTAGAGTGGGCTGTCCCAAAAGCATTTTGATGGTTTTAGTTTCTGATTATTATAAAGTATTTAAATGTAGCATGGGCCCGTGTTGGCCTTTCAGGGTTGTCTGGTGTAAGAGGTTGGCCTGCTGCAGGGCACACTCCTGCTTTCACTGTGCTCCTATTCAGGGGGTGCTGGGTGCAGCTGAGGTACAAAAAGAGGACATGCAGGATCTGTCCCTGGAGCTGCCATAACATTGGCTACTTGCAGCACACCCTGGGTTCAGGACATTGTTCTGATGGGTTCTAGAGGTTATCCACTCATCCTGCATGTTCTGGGAGCCCAGGAATGGTGCTGACCTCAACCCTGTGCTACAGGACATCAGGGTAGAACCATCTCCATCTGCTTCTTCGGGTAATAAAATCTCCTGTTGGAGTCCAAGGCAGATCCCACAGTGTTCTGAGCACTTTCTGGTGAGGTTCCTGGGCAAAGAATGTATGTCCCTGGATGTGCATGTTGGATGTGATAGTGAATTCTAGTGTCAACTTGACTAGGCCACGGTATCCAGATAGCGGGTCAAACATTATTCTAGATGTTTTTATGAAGATATTTTTGGATGAAATTAACATTTAAATCAGCAGAATTTGAGTAAAGCAGATTACTCTCTACTATATGTGTTGGCCTCATCCAATCATTTGAAGGACTGAATATACCAAAATACTGACCTCCCCAGAGAAAGAGGGAAATCTGCCAGTGACTGCCTTCAGACTTGAACTGCAACTCTTCCCAACCTGCCAGATTTTGGAACTGTTAGCCTGCATGATCACATAAGCACACTCCTTCAAATAAATCTCTTTCTCTCTCTCTGTCTCTATATATACATATACAGTTATGCATGTGTGTGTATATATGTATATGTGTGTACATGTAGGTACATACACATCCTACAACCTGTTGGTTCTGTTTCTCTAGAGAACTGTGACTAATCCATTGAGTGTACAGAGAGAATGGGTTCACCTGGCTCTTTACGATTTACACATCATGACAACAGTGGCGCCCCTCCACTGAAGGCCTCCCATATCCTTTGACTTTTTCATCTCCCCATGAGAAACTGACATGCAGGTTAAGTCTTAAGATCAAAACCCACTCTGTCTGACACCACATCCCCAGCTCTCACCCCCTCACCGCACCATCCTATGACACATGAGCTGAGAGACCCTTAAGGATCGCCCTGGTTATATGCAGGGATCAGAGCTTTGCCTGCACTTCACTGTCCAAATTAAGGATCAGGAGGGGGTTTCCAAGCAGCTGGGTGGGCAGGGCCTTCATGCTTGGAGAGTGCCCAAACTTGTGTTGAGAAGAAAGGAAAGAGGAGTGCTCCTGTCACTGCAGCTCAGGCCAGCCACCCCCAGCAACTCAGGAACAAGCCAGCACATGGGAAAGAATAAATGTGTTGTTACAGAGGTCCCTGCACATAGTAGGCCTTAAAGGAACATGTACTGGCTCTGCATAGCCACTCCCTCGTTGCAATACCTTTCACCCCAATCCTATTTTATCTAAGGCTATGACTTCATTCCCAAAGCAGTATGTGCCAGTGGGCCCCTGGTCAGAGTGGACCTCAGCAAATATTTGTGTTCTTTTTCCCCACAGTTAAGTGCTAGGAGTGTTGTCCTGACATTCACTCCTCAGCCCCAACAGCCCTCTGCTTCCCTGCCTTCTCCTGCAGTGTGCATTGGATATTGGCACAGCCTGAGTTGGATTTGTTGCATCAAACCACCCTCAGATGGTCCTCATTCTCTTTTCCTCCCCACCAAGGACTCTTCCTATATTAGTCAGGTATATTTTTCTATCTTGACTGATGATATCTTTCTGTATCAGCCAGTACTCTATCTGTCACAGAAATAGAATCAATAGTATAGGTATAGGTGTAGGTATAGAGATTTATTTTAAGGAATTGGTTCACACAATTGTGGAGACTGCAAATGTGAAATTTGTAGGACAGATCAGCAGGCTGCAAATTCAAACAGGAGCTGATACTGCAGTCTTGAAGCCTGTTAAAATAATTTAAAAAGGAGGCCATTAGGTTAAGGGGGCTCTGATGCCTTGGTAGCCTACATAAGCAAACCAAAACCTAAGCCAGAGTCAGTGCATTCAAATCCAAGAAAGTGAAATTTCAGACCAATCCATCACAGAGTGATGTCATAGTGGACTGAGTTGTTCCTTTTTCCTCTCTCTTCTAAGTTACAACTAAATGTGCGTTCATTAAACAACAGAAGATTCCCTACACAACACAACACAACAAAATGCCTAAGAGATCCATGCAGCTATACATCTGAAGGTGGGTGGACTGGATCCCCAGGAAGCCATGGAACTAGGTGAGCAGACTCCTCCCCCTCCTCAGCAGCAGCACTCTAGGTCGTGGATCCTCACACAGCAGCCAGTGTGACTGTGAGTGGAGGTGGGGGCAGCCTGGCCCACACACAGATGCTTTCTGAGTGGTAACTCATCCTGCAGGAGGACCCACTTACCAACATGGCCATGCCTCTGCAAACTTTCCACACCAAGTAGTAGCTCAGCCCCCACAAAGCACCCCACCTGCCAAGTGAAGCAGATCAGCTAGACCAGCCCACAGAGCACAGTTGCCCCACTGGCATGAGCACAATCCCCAGAGTCAGTCCATGCAAATGTGGAGCAGCCTGAGTGGCACAACTACCAATGGAGAGGGTGGGATCAGAAAAGACAGCTCCTGCCACCCCCTAGCAATGGCAGCTGTAATCTGAGACCTGATACTACCACAAATGAGCTGGCAGAGGATCAATTCATCAAATACCATGAAGACCTACAGTAACACTGAAGAAAAGAAGGAAAATGACAAGTCTTGAGAAACCAAACCTGAAGTCACAGATTACAATCTGAACGACAAAGAATTCAAAATAGTTGTCATAAAGAAATTCAATGAGTTACAGGAAAACACAGAAATACAGTTCAATGAGCTCAGGAGTAAAATTAATTAACAGAAAGGATATTTCACCAAAGAGACTGAAGGTCTTTTAAAAAACTACACAAAAATTCTGGATATGAAGAACACAATTAATGAGATAAAAAATAATCTAGAAACCATAAAAAATGGAGCAGACTTTATGGAGGACAGAATTAGTGACTTAGAAGATAGAAATATAGAAATGCTTCTGGTGAAGGAGGAAAGAGAACTAAGATTTTTTAAAAATTAAATTCTTCAAGAAATGTCCAACTCAACTAGGAAGAGTAACATAAGGATTATAGATACTCAGAGGGACAAGAGAGGGAGAAAGGAGAAGAGAGCTTGTTCAAAGAAATAACAGCTGAGAACTTCTCAAACCTGGGGCAGGAACTGGACTTACAAGTACATGAAGGCAGGAGAACTCAAATTACATCAGTGCAAAAAGTCCTTCTCCAAGGCATATAATATGAAAACTGTCAAAAGTCAATGACAAAGAAAAAATATTAAGGGCAGCAAGGCAGAATAAAATAGCCTACAAAGGAACCTTCATCAGGCTTTCAGCGGATTTCTCAGCAGAAACCTTACAGGCTAGGAGAGAATGGAATGATATATTCAAAATACTGAAAGACAAAAACTTTCAGCCAAAAATACTCTATTCAGCAAAATTATTCTTCAGATATGATGGAGACATAAAAGCTTTCCCAGATAAACAAAAGCTGAGAGATTCATCACCACTAGACTTCCCTTACAAGAAATGATGAAGAGAGCCCTCCTATCTGAAACAAAAAAGGCAAAGGCCTACAAAACTTTGAGCAAGGAAATAAATAGACAAAATAATAAAATTGAAGCTCTCTATCAGAACAGACTAGCAAACACTTGATTAAAACATAAAAGATAAAGGAAAGGAAAGCATCAAAAATAATTATAAAAACTTCAATTTAGTCACAAACTTACAATGCAGAATAGAATAATTTGTAACAACAATAACTTAGATGGTGAAGAGTTAAGGCATGGCATTTGCTTTGGCTAAGGAGATAAGAGCTATCAGAAAATGGACTATCTCATCTTCGAGATCTTTTATACAAACTCATGGTAAACAATAAGTAAAAAATAAGAACAGAACCACATTCATAAAGAGAAAACTTAGAAAATCATCACAGAAAACCACCAAACTGAAA